TAGAATTAATGTTATTAGAATGTTAATCTAACGTTACTACAAAATTGACAACACATTTTAATTTAATCATTTTATTAATATTATTTTAGAAACATTATATCAACGTCAGAAAAACTTTAACGCAACATTATTTGCAATGTTATGGCACTCCCATTTCAACATTACAGATACCTCCAAATTGCGGTCAAAGGTTGTTCATAATGATGTTGTATACAACGTTAAATACAACATATTTGAAAACGTTACATGTTATTGAATATCATTTTAATAACATTATAGTAATGATTTTTTGCTTACTGGGCATAAAATACGATAACATCTAATAAGTAAAATTCTGTTTAATTCCATATTATTACGAAATATCCGTTTAAAACCATAGAATACGATAACATCTAATAAGTAAAATTCCGTTTAATTCCATATTATTACGAACTATCCGTTTAAAACCATAGAATACGATAACATCTAATAAGTAAAATTTCGTTTAATTCCATATTATTACGAACTATCCGTTTAAAACCATAGAATACGATAACATCTAATAAATAAAATTCCGTTTAATTCCATATTATTACGAACTATCCGTTTAAAACCATAGAATATGATAACATCTAATAAGTAAAATTCCGTTTAATTCCATATTATTACGAACTATCTGTTTAAAACCATAGAATACGATAACATTTAATAAGTAAAATTTCGTTTTATTTCATTATTACAAACTATCCGTTTAAAACCATAGAATACGATAACATCTAATAAGTAAAATCTGAAAGAGTACAATAACATTCCAATATGAAATATTATATAGCATTTATAAAATCTGTTGAGTTGGTAACTCTGGACGATCTGCACGACAGCGCGCACGACAGCCGCGCACAATACTAACGGATTGTAGACTTCGTGAACGTTCTTTATCGCACCACTGAATAACGTTTTGTTCTCGAGTGATACACTATAAGCAACACGCACAGTTCAGTCATTTATTTACCTGTTTGTCACTCCGTGTACAAGAAATACATCGCTTTAACCTGAGCATACTCACAAGTGACCTACTTATTTTGACCTAGCTCTCGTAACAGGTTATGGGCCCAGGCCGCGCGCCAAAAGCGATCGTGTGTATACAGCCAGAATTGTCGAAACGTGCGTACGAGCATAGAACCGAGAAGTACCAAATAATAAAATCCGAGTGAAATCGAAGTACGACGAAGCATAAGATGAATTCGAACGTCGTTAGAATCGAAACTCTGAACCGCGTAAATTACGACACGTGGAAGCTTCAGATGTAGGCACTTTTGGTCAAAAACGACGCGTGGGCATATGTTAACGGCGATATTACAAAGCCGGAAGCAACAGAGAATAATGCAGCGGCTGTTACGGCTTGGATAACCGGTGACAACAAGGCAAGATCTGACATCATCCTGAGCATCAGTCCATCCGAATTAAAACAGATTAAGGGATGCAACACTTCAAGAGAGGCTTAAACTCGAGGGAATCTACCAATCCAAAGGGCCAGCAAGAAAGGCCACTTTGCTTAAGCAGCTAACACTCCAACGAATAAATGACGGAGGCGATCTGAAGGATCACTTGGGTAAATTTTTTGATGTTGTAGACAAACTAGAAGAAATGGAGG